GAGACACACCCCAAGTGTGCCCAACACATGTCCTGAAAAGTGAAACCAAAACATTTTGATCGCCCCTAGTGGCTGGCTGTAGTATAGGTTATAAACCCTGGCCTTCATGTAAACTAATTGGACATTACCAAAAAAATTAATTAATTAATTAAAAACATAAAATCTAATTACACTTCAAACAGATTTTTTTCCCCAAAGATGGTTTCTGTGATTTTAGGTAGTTCTTATTATATGATGTATGTTCAAGTGTTTGTTTTTCTAATAAGTTTGGGATATTTTGGCTTCATTTTTCTACAGTGGAAGCAAATAGAGAAGCGTAGTGCATATATATATATATTTTTTATGTGTTAAACAGTTTGTTTATTTCTTTCTGACTGTACTCTTTTTCCAAACTCAGTGGACGAAACTATCTAAACGGATAACACGTTTTACCATTAAATGATTGTTAAGCTGTTAGTCAAGTAACTGTTTCGTTTTCCTGCAGGTTTGGCGTTTCAGCACAGCCTTTAGCCCGGTTAACCGGTGGGAGTTTGCGGACATCTCTAGCATGGCAGACCACCTGAAACGTTGCCCATACAATGAAGTCCTCCGACAAGTGGAGGCAGTTCCACTGCCCTGCATGTGCACGACCAGAGAGCTAACGCGAGACGGCAGATCGCTTCGATCTGTTCTCAAACCAGTATCATAACGCTACAGAAACTTAGTTTGCAAAACATAACTAAAACACTACAATATCTAACCTCTTCGATCTACAATATAATATCACTGTAAATAAAAGGAAAATAAATATTTTTTGTTTTGATGCTAAGATTATTTTTTTAATAATATATCAAAGAATAATTTGTCTAAAGGTGTGTGATGCTAATGGTTCCTCTAAGAAAAATGGTTTGGCTTCCTCTGACACAGACCCATGCTTTCTTTATCAAGACCAAGGACTGGTTTAAAGGAGAGTAAACATTGGTGAAACAAGGCTTAATTCAGTGGGATTATATGAGCCTCAACCTGTCAAATAGCACTTTATTTATTTGTCTAGACACAGCAAGATAATCGTGTTAATGACTTCTGGTTCCTGTCAGTACATATCCACACTATAGTATATTTGCATGGTTTGGTTAAGATACTTTTTGAAAAAGGACACCTATGATTATTTTTGGATGATTCAGGCTTGCTCCATTTTATGGTGGCATCGCAGACAGGTGCACTTCACCCTGACCCGGGAACAGCTGTCATGCTTAAGAATTCAAGGGCTTGGATTTATATTGGGTTTCAGAGTAAGAGAGCTGTTCTTCCTATCACATTATCATAGGAAAGGAGGTTTCCATTAACAGCAGTTTTACAATCGCCACACTCTTAAAGACTTAAAATCCAGAAATGGCACCAATGGACTTTAGTCAAATGTATTTGTTTGGACGCTCTCTTTGTACTGAAGCGGACGCTCTAAAACACCTTGAACTATTTTAATTCATTCTCCAGTACTATATTAATCAATATCAGCATGCCAACCATATATCAGCATTTAGAATATTTGCACTTTACTGAATTTTGTGGCTGTCTGCACTCTGATCCGCGCTATCCTCACTAACCTGGAGTAAACAGATGCTCTGCTATTGTGTTTCCTATTGAGTGAGCAGGAAAAGCTTAGGTAACACTATATTTGAGTACAAAGAAGAGCTCTATAACTTACATATATGTGATGTGTGACATATCTTAACCTGTCTGCATTTAAATGAGTGCTGTGAGAATTCGTGAAGGCTAATATTTGAAGGTGTGATCTGCAGCTAATGAAACACCACAGAAGTGTTTCTTTTAACCTTTACGGTTTATGGAAAGCTATGCAGCATTTACGAGTTAGGAGCTGTTTTAGGCTTCTCAAATTGTTTGTCACCCAATGTTGTGTGTTCATTTCCATGTAATCAAAATGAAGTGTTTTTGTGTGTGTGTGTGTGTGTGTGTGTGTGTAATTCAGTCCATATATTGTATTACTGAAGCCATGTTATATGAAGTCTGTTTTCTGGTTATTAGGTTGTTGTTTATGATCTAAGCAGGTGAATTGCCAGTACAGCTGTTGATTGAGTTGCATGTGGTTTTTGACTTAAATGAATTAAAAATATCTATATATTTTATTATCTTTATTTTGGCTCAGTGTTCTTTTACTTATTTATTTTTAAATGTATGCTTACTCCCTACATCCATACTTTAAACAGGTTTATACTACGGGAAATTGTGAGCTGCTTTCTCTGAGAATGTGTTGGGTCCCTAAGGTTATAATAAATCTTTATTAACATAAAAGTTAATACAAGACCTACTCCGTAGACCCTGGTATTTCCTGTCCATTACACAGTTTAACTCACAAGTGTACATTTACTAAAACAAACAAAAGAGATGTGGCCTTTTGTTGTACATGATAAATATGGCTAAATTAAATTACAGTAGATAAGATATGTCAAGGTAGGAAGAGGGGAAAACAAATCAAATGTCAGGGGAGTGGTATTTATTTTTGTAGAGCAGAGCCATAATCCAGAGAATTTGTTTCAATTAATGCTGATCAATGCAGCATACCCCTTGTGTCTTAACTGTGCTGAATGTGCACTCGTAGTGTACTTTAAATACTAAAAGAATATATTTTTGAAACAAACTGTACTTTTAGGTAATATGACTTGACTTAATAGATGATATAATATTAATTAAATAAAACCACGTCATTGTTCTAAAATAGTCATGGAATTGAACTCTCTTTAAGTATGCTTAAGTACTCTTAAAAGGTCCACTTTGTAATAATGTATTAAACAAATTTAAAATCATTCATGTATTTATCATTTGTCACTTGTGCTTTAAAGAAGCAACGTTTTGGTGTATTGACCCACAAACTAAATCAAATGTAATGGTCTTGATTAATAATTGTAACTATATTGTGTTATTTGATAGTACATTTAACGCTAATGCATTTTAAATGTACTAAATTGCAACTTAATCATTACAGATGTGTGTAATTGGAAATATATGGAAAAAACTGCCAATAGAAATTTGATACAAATAATATTAAAGTATTTTTAAATTGACCATGTATGTCAGTACATTCAGCAGTACACAACCATATTTCAAAAACAGCAAAATTATGAAATTACATATAAAGGCGTATTTAAGTATGCAAAAAGGCACTCTCAAGTTCCAGTATCACATTTAATTTACATTTAAAGTATAATGCATTTTTTATTTGACTGTAAACATGCAAATACTATTTGTAGATTTGAATATTCTAGGCCAGAGTTTTGTGTGATAGAGAGTCACTCAAGTAGGCTACTAAAGAGTCCATACAAGGCTTTATAACTAAGTGGCAGTATTTTATAATCAATGTGCAACTTAACAGGTAGCCAGTGCAGACTGTGCAGTGATGATAAAATTGAGCTGGTGTGATCAGATTTTCTGGATTTGGTAAGGTCTTACAAATGCATGAATAATAATTAGCCTATTATTGTTAGCCTATGCAAGTGAAATGTTTAGATGAACTGTAAAAGCATTGGATTACACTATGAATTTTATAATAACCTGTTCTCAATTTATAAACTTTGTAATTTATCACATCAACAATTATTATTATTATTAACTTTAAATATGAATGAATTATTTTTCATCCAACCACTTGATGGTAGTGTTTCATTAAGGCCAGAAAATTATTTGGTGGCGTGACAGATTAGAAATCAAATAATGGATAGACTGACTATTATAAAGACTGTAAATGTTCTTAAATTTAGAAGCCCAAAATGCTGCTAAATAGGCCATTTTCATTTAAGATGGGTTTAATATTTCTTTATTTGTGTATTTGCTGAACGATAATCACACACATAAGCACAGAAGAGGGACTCCAAAGCAGTAGCCCCTCACTGCAGAACACAAGATCCAGGGGGCGTGGTTGGATCCACATCTAGGGGGTGGAGATTAGGGCTGTCAAAAAAAAAATCGAATTTCGAATATTCGTCGAATTTAAAATAAAAATCCACATTCTTAGGGATCAGGGGGTGGAGACGGGTAGGTTTAGGTTTTTGTAAGGTGGGAGGAGTTGGAACTGGATCCAACCACGCCCCCTGGATCTTGTGTTCTGCAGTGAGGACCATCCATAGACTGTATAAAAACATGGACGTAGTGTCCAGTCACCCGTAGGTTCCTGAAAAGGTTTTTGAAGCTCAAAAGTGGGCTGAGTCAGCCGTCGCCATCTTGGCAGCGCGCGTCACCGTGCGTCACTCCCGGATAATCGAAAATGGGCAAAAAGGCAGGAGCTGGTTGCTGAAGCTACGCCCACCTAGCTCGACGGTGGTGACAGCAGCAGCAATCCACCTGTCACTCAAGTGGCCACGCCCTTAATTATGCAGAACTTTAAGGCTTAATATAATTTAAACGGATGAGTTTAAAAATTCACCCCCCTCACAGTTGTCATGAAGGGCAAAATTAGCTATATAAACCAAAATCATTTTTTGAACCAGGCTGTAAACGTTTTTTTCTGCTGTAAAGTTGGGCATTTTAACATGGGGAGTCTATGGGATTGACTCCCTTTTGCAGCCAGCCTCTAGCGGCCAGTCGATGAATTACAGTTTAAGTCACTTCCTTGTTGGCTTCACGCGAGAGAGCGGGAGGTTGCCGCTTGGGACCATCTCCTCCAAAGCGCCGTGGTCATGTGATCTGTTACTTTTCACAGCACTAGTCAGTCTCTACTTATCAAAGGCTACTAGTGATTACGAAATTAAGCATTTAATAATAATTTTATTTATGCATCTGGATTTTTATTTGTATGTTACTGTCAGAAATCCAGTCTTTTACATTAAAAATACGATTGTAATCTTAAATTTGCTCAAACCTAGCAAAATAATTCCCTGAGATCTGAATGCAGTTCAATGGAGGATTCAGCTTTCTGAGCCATGCGGCGCCCCCTTGAGGATACTTTGTTTCCAGTAAACTAGTAACAGTTGACGCACAATGTTACAAACCGTCCTGTATAAAGTGAGATCTCTTTACAACCCTGTAAAACACACAGTTGTCCCCTCTCAGCCACTGTATCGCATTAAATGTCAACAGTACTGCGTGTATTTTTATCGCAGCCATTTATAATGTCAGTGACACATGAAGATCAGTCCCAGTTACACGGCATGGTTGTGTTCAGGTTTGGTGTCATTCTGACCCCAGAGTGTCTGGATATCGAGGTGTTTGTACTGGGCTCAAGGCCGGAGATGGGACACTGGGATCCGAACCGAGCCGTGAAGATGAGTCCGAGCCGCTCGCTTCTGTCCACCTGTGAACCGTGTCTGTGGATAGGAGACGTGCGTCTGTCTGCACCGCAGACCGATAAGCTGTGGTTTAAGTTTATAAAGCGCGTTGATGGGACCTACATTTGGGAAGGTACGTGAAGATGGACAAGCTGTGAGGACGATACAAACACGCTGTTTCTAATGAATATCCAGTTTAAATGGAACCACTTTTAATGAAGGACAAATGCGCGCGCTAATAACATTCAGAGTGCAATGAATGTTTTGACTCACCAGATGGAGCTGATGTTTCAAAGTCTGACTTGCGAGGCCACGAATTTATGAACTTTTCAGTTTAACAACAGTTTACAGTCTCTAACTATGATGTCTGTTAAAGATCACTTGATTTGGAAAGCATCTGCTGTGTACAAACATCTGACAGATGTCTACATTCTAATCCATAAACATCTTAAAGACATCTAATAGACGTCTATTTGATGTCTGAAAGGAGACGTCCTATGTCCTAGATGTATTGCAGATGAGCAAACACTATAAAAAATGTCTTGCAGACGTCAAAAAGACATCCCCGTTATGTATCCTTTGTGTGCTATCAGGGGACGCTTTACACAAATTATGGGATTAGCTTCCAGTCAACTGTAAACAATCAGCGAAGGATTGCTCTATGATTGCAATAATAAGCATTTAAAATAAAAAAAGGTACAATGAAGTGACATTATTCTACTCGCACTTCAACCATCGTACAATAAAAGTCGATTTAAAAGTGTAATAGCATTAAAAATGACTTTCAACATAACATGAATACCTGGAAAGAGACGTGAGGGTTTTCGGAGAAAAGCGGGACTGCATTCCAGTGAATTATTCATGGTTTATATCGTTAATTAAATCGGGAGAGCAGACCACAAATGCGCAGTTATCTATATTCATACTGTTACAGCGAAATACAAAGGAAAAATGTTAATAATGAGGAGGAAAAGAATGCAGCAGGACTGAGAAGAGCTCTTAGATGGGCTACTCTTTTTATTCCATGTCACATTAACATACCAAACGTCACGTTATTTTTCTGACGACTGAAAATAGAGCATGAAGGAAAACGTACAGCTCATTCAGTCAAACTCACAATCAAGGATTGTTTGTAGCTCAACTTTGTGATTTGAAATGATTTGTTTCAGACTTTTTGAGTGGAACTTCCCCAAACCGGAAGTGCCTCCCATAATTTTTTAAACCAGCAGACTGGTTGGATAGTGAGAATATGGAACTCATATTCTAAGAGGAAAAACATATCAGTTTTATTCAGAGGCCCAAACTGAGCAAAACATTTTTAAAAAATGCAATTTGGTGCCGATAGGCTACTGATATTTAGAAAAGTAAGATGAAATTCTCATAGCTTGTTGGCTAATTCAGTAAGATCTTTAGCAAAATGCTTAAATCAGATGTTTAAAAATATCAGTTGTCACTCTATAAAAACCAGCAGACTGGTTGGATAGTGAGAATATGGAGCTCATACTCTAAGAGGAAAAACATATCAGTTTTATTCAGAGGCCCAAACTGAGCAAAACATTAAAAAAAAAATGCAATTTGGTGCCGATAGGCTACTGATATTTAGATTGGCAAAAAGTAAGATGAAATTCTCATAGCTTGTTGGCTAATTCAGTAAGATCTTTAGCAAAATGCTTAAATCAGATGTTTAAAAATATCAGTTGTCACTCTATATCTTCCCATAAGTTGTCTTAATAAGATACTAAGGGGGGTTAATAATAATAAGATATCTCACAGCAAAGAGACACATGTATATGACTTGACGGAGGATGTTGAAACTAAAATGAAAATAAAAGGCCTTATTTAAAATGTATGAACTATCAGTCAGATGACAAAAAGTTTTGATCACGCTGATAATTTGGAGGCCTTTGCAGAATTCATGTATCAAGTACTGTATGATGTACGGTGGGCTTTATAGGGTTCAGCGGAAATGATGACGTCCTAACGGACTTACCTGACGATGCCACAGGGGACACTTTTTACAGTTCAGGGGTTGTTAGAAGAGGAAGTCGCTATAGGTGCGTAAACTTCCATAATGGGAGACTACAGCAATTAATTAATTGAACAACTTTAGTGGTCCCATTTGATCAAATCTCGTTTTTAAAGGGAAAAAAAGAAGACGCTCGTAAACTTGTAAAATTAAAAACACCAAAAAAGGCATTTTCTTACTTCAAATAAAATAAACATTAATTGAAATAAAGTAAAACATAAAGAACTTAAACATTTATTCAAAATATTAAGCCATTAATCTCAGTAATACTAAAATCACACTGCTTTCTATTTTTTTCTTATTTTGTAAAGTCGTTGAAATTAGATTGTGGACAAAAATAAAACTGCAAAAATCATATATATTGAAGTCACATGTGTCTTTCATTCTATTGGCTTTCTTATTTTCGGCTATTTTTACATCTCATTTTCGCAAGATGCAGACTACAAAACATTGTTTTGAAGATCATTTCCATCTATTTTCATTTTGATGTTGTATGTCCTTAATGCCGGCTAGTCTCCATCTCTCTGTCTTTTACCCCTCTGCGTTAACACTACTTTTCCACATGTATCTATATCTATAGGATCTATAGGATCGTTAGGGAATATACTGGATAATATACAAATGTTGTCCAGTATATGTTTGTGCATGCGTGTTTGTTCACTGCCTTTATCATTTCGTCTTGTTTTATTCTTTTACACAGCATGCAGAAAAGTATTTGTCATAAGAACAAACTTTAAACTTTGCTTTGGGAGCCAAGAGGCAAATATTTCAAGCTGATGAAAACTGCAGTGTCACTCAAACCTGAACATGACCTGCTTTGTCAGAGAAGCCAGGCTGTCGTCCTTACACGACTCAGTGGCGGTTTTCTCGTTCTGTCATGTTTCTTATTTGAATGAATGCACCTCTGCGTGACAAATCGACGATCTGCTGCGGTGCTCACGCCGTCTGTTGACTGAGGTTTTGATTGAGCCATTGTTTGCTGGCATCTTGTCTATTCACCCAGTCTCATATGAAAACAACCGAGATCTTTATTGTGTTGAGATGTGTTTTTCTGATTGAAATGATGCTTGTTGATTTCACACCATAGCAGGTGAATTGGCTCTGAGCGTGCCTCAGGTAAGCAAGCATGAAGTGATAGTCCTCCAGTTGAGATAAAAGTACTCTGATCAGTGGAGTGTTTGAATTGGCAGCATCCAGACATGGACAGACTTGGTTTAGGATGTATTGGCCTGTACACTTCAGTAGGTTCTAATTCTGCACCATTATTTCTGTGTATGACCTAGAGGAAAAACCATATGATAGAGTGTGAACCATTTTTAGTTCAGAGAGGACTCGCTGCTGCATGTGGGGTGGAAATGAAAGCAATGCATATTTTTAAATGATTACATAAAAAAAAAAAAAAATTGGAGAAATGTAGCATTGCATCAGTGTCTCAGCAATGGATGCTCTGCAGTGAATGGGTGCCGTCAGAATGAGAGTCCAAACAGCTGATAAAAACATCACAATAATCCACACCACTCCAGTCCATCAGTTAATGTCTTCTATCCATAATATTGCTTTATCCAGTGAAAAAGTCAGGAGAGAATTATTCACAGATCAAGCACTGTTTATAAGTGAAAACAGTCCAACACTGCTTTAAATTAATACGTGGGTGGATTTTGATGTGAGAGGACAACAGAGGATGGACTTTATCACTGGAGGAAGTGTTATTATGGATTATGGACTCGTATTTTGGGCAAAAGAAATATTTTCAATTTAAAACGTCTAAATGATGGATTTGTTTTTTTACAAACACAAATTTTCACTTCTCAAGATGGACTGTCAGTTGATGGACTGGAGTGGTGTGGATTATTGTGATCTTTCTATCAGCTGTTTGGACTCTCATTCTGACGGCACCCATTCACTGCAGAGCATCCATTGGTGAGCAAGAGATGCAATGCTACAGTTCTCCAAATCTGATGAAGAAACAAACTCATCTACAAAAAAAAAAGCAAAGTTTCATTTTTGGGGGAACTATTCCTTTAAGCGCAAAAACATGTTCTGAACAAGATTCTGTATTCCACTGCTTTACCATTGTTACAGAATGTAGTGTCAGAACAATCCATTTTATAAATGAGATTTTAGAACTGAATGTCAAATCAAGCAAAAATAAATAACAGTTTTGGTAAACTTATTGCATTTTGACTTTGTATGGCAATATTGCTTTAAGACATACAAACTCAAGCCCGCCAATTTAAATTCCACCATCAGCACACTGTGTGGTGTATACAGTATGCAATGTATGCATGTGGCTTCAGCTGAGACTGTAAGCATGATAGTAATGGCATAGGTTTTGTTCATGCTATATGAGTCAGCGTGAAGAGCTTGTTTGCTGTGTGGGCTGCAGCTGTGAGACTCTCATCAGCCCAGCAGTGGAAAGGGCGACAGCAGTAGGGTGGGATGATAAATGTCGGACAAATATCAAACCCCCCATGTACTTTCAGGATGAATGTGAGTTTGGGATGCATGCAATTTCAGAAACCCATACGCTCTCCCTCATTACAGTGCATTACGTGTACGTGTAGAACTGAGGAAGCACTGCACTACAGTTTTAGCAACGCAAGGACTCATTTGAATGTTTATTGTTTTATGAATCAAGCTTATGACTTGACCATCAAAATTATGCAGAAATACGGCCATTACAGGAAGTTGCTGAATTAATGAAGGAAACCCTTAGCTTTTAAATGTGAACTCTCAAAGGTCAGGAACAGGTGACCTGCAGAGTCGGAAAAACACTCAGTAATTTAATTGGCTATTGACCCTCCCCTTCAGAAATAAAAGGCTTACACAAAAAAGCAGTTTTTTTTCTCAGAAAGGGACAATGTGCATTTCAAAAGTTTAAGAGACCCTGACACTTTGAAGCATGAAATACATGTCATTTCCATTGTTAAAATTCTCATTTAGATTCCTACTGTTGTATAATTAAGATGGAATAAGAGTGTTTATGGCATTTAACATTAGTGCAAGTGTAAAAGTTTAAGTAAAATAATTCATTGACACAGTGTAGATCAAAAATGTGTTGGAGTTAATTATTTATTCAAACATTGAAACATATTTAATGTGCTCCAGAATACATTAAAATGCTTTTGTTTTTATGGTTTGGCAGACTCAATATTAGTCTGCCAAACCATAATCAGTTAAGTCAGTTGTTTCAACAAAAAAAATATATATATAAATTATATCTATCATCCATCTATCTATGCAGGCTTCCATAATTTTGTGATATTCAGGATCCAAAATTATAAAAATAATAATAGTTAACTTTTTTTAAAGAATGACTTAATGTGTGCATTCCACATGTGTGAAAAATGCAACTGAAATATGTTATTAGTTTAGATCAGGTTACATCACCTGACATTGTCACGGAATGCCAGGAGAAAACAAGGTAGATCCAAGTGCAGTTGTTTATTAAATAACAAATGAACAGAACAAAAACGTGGCAAAAGGTAATCCAAAACACAGAGAACAGAAAACACGATGAACATGAGACAACTATGAACTCAGAAGACAATACAATATAGCCGCAATGACAGACAGAGTGAGCATGGTATATATAGATGGGATAATGAGTGAATGACTAGCAGGTGAAAGTGATCGGAACTGATAAACAGGTGCTGATGATCAGACAGAATGACAAGCAAGGGACTATGGGAATTGGAGTTGAACACATAAAACAAAGAAACAGGAGAGCGACCTCAAGTGGCCAGTCCAGGTCACCACAACCAGACACTGACAGACATTTTAAAGTCAATAAATAAAACAATTTGTTGAAAATAGTAAAAACTTAGAACAACTAGTAAAAACACTTTAGTATAGAGACCAATTCTCACTATTAACTAGCTGCTTATTAGCATGCCTATTATTAACATATTGGCTGTTTATTAGTACTTATAAAGCACATATTCTGCATGACCATATTCTACATCTGTAATCCTACTCAATACCTAAACTTAACAACTACCTTACTAGCTATTAATAAGCAGCAAATTAGGAGTTCATTGAGGCAAACATCGTAGTTAATGGTTTGTTAATAGCGAGAATTAAACCTTAAAGAGTGACCGAACAATTTTTTTACAAGAATTTCCTTTTCATTGTATAATTTATTCTAGTTTGTCATTGAGGTGTCATTGAGATGATTATGTAAATGACTGATAATTGTTTGATGTGTGTGTCTATAGGCAATGGGCCTCATCATGACCGGCACTGTGTGTATGACGACAGTAACCTCGTGGACGGGGTATACTGCCATCCGATTGGTCACTGGATCGAAGAGACGGGCCACACAGATGAGATGAAACACACTACCAACTTCTACTTCAGCATAGCGGGACAGCAAGCCATCCACTTCTCTCAGTATGTGTGAATGAATTTCCCATCCATCATGAGTTTTAATGTGAAGTCACATATACCATCGCTTGGTACAATTCATATAAGAAATCCAGTCATTCCAGTACAATCTGTGTGAAATTTTGCATGAGAGGGAAAATTCCCAGCTCAGATTTCTCTTATACTTACAGTGATGTGAAAAGGTTTTTGCCCCTTACTGTTTTTTTTTTTTGCATATTTGTCACACAATATTTTAATATTACACAAAGATAATGCAAGTAAATACAAAATGCAGTTTTGAAATGATGATTTAATTTATTAAGGGAAAAAAGTTGTCCAAACCTACCTGGCCCTATGTGAAAAATTAATTGCCCCTCCTGTTAAATCATGAAAGAACTGTGATTAACCACATTCAAAAACTTCCAGAAATGCAGATGTAGATGACATAATTGGAGAGACAGTTAAAGTTAAAGTGGGGCAGACGCTAAGCCTTAAGTTAATAATTTTGTCACTAAAATATCTCAAGAAGCTTTCACAGAGAGCATCAGAGGCAACAGGCAAGGTGTTAACTGAAGGATTTGTGACAGATTGAATAATTGAAAACAATACCTTAGGTTTAGAATGATTAGTTTCAATTAAATTAGAAAAGTATGCAGCTTTCGCAGACTTAGCTGCAGTCTGGTAAGATGTAAGTTTCTGAACATTTGAAGAGAGATATGCAGCCTGTCCTTTTTCCATTTACGTTCTGCCTTTCTGCAGTTTTGTCTTAGGAGACGGGTATCAGAGTTTTGCCACAGTGCAGATTTTGGTTTTTGCTTGTGAGGCTTAAGGGGGGCAGTTGCATTTGCTACCTTAAGCCAGGCAGAATTTACGAGGCTAAGATGTTGATCAGCATCCAAGTCAGATAATGGTTGATCCAAGTGCAACTGTGAGCAACATTCAGCAAAGCACAAGTTGAAATTTGTGCTAAACTGTGGAGAGTAGAAACGAGAAAGATTTACAGGTGTATTAGAAAAATGAGAGAGATCTGGAAGAGACAGTGAGAATAATATAGGCTTATGGTCAGAGATCATAAAATCTGAGAGCATAATATCAGTCACATCAAGCCCATATGAGAGAACAAGATCCAACGTATGTCCCTGAATATGAGTAGAGACATTGATCCACTGGGATAGATTAAAAGCGTCGATGAGATTAAGAAAGTCATGTGATAAGGGGTTAGACGGACAGCAGACATGGATATTAAAGTCGCCCACCAATTGAAAGCGATCGTAATTTGTGGCAATATTGCCGATCAGTTCAGTGAAATGCTGTATAAAATCCTTAGTAGAGTGCGGAGGACAGTAAAACACCCCTAGACATACAGGACCATTCCAGTCTAAGTGAATAAACTGAGTTTCAAAGCTGGGAAAGGCTGTTACAGGGATCAATCGACAGCGTGCAGAGAGAGAGAGTTCTTTAAAATTGTTACTATCCCACCCCCGCGTCCACTCGGACGAGGAGAGTTAAAAAATGTACAGTCAGCAGGGATCAGATCAGAAAAAGGAGTTAGATCACCAACCTTTATCCAGGTTCCGTGATAAACATAAAATCCAGGTTGTGAGATGAGTAAAAATCATTTAATAAGAAGGTCTTATTCACCAAGGAACGGGCATTTAATAATGCCATCTTCGGTGAAGAAATAATATCAGGAGATGAGGACGCTCTTTTCAGCGAGCGCAGATTTCCGTGAGTTACTCCCCGTCGTCGGGAGCCGAGGCTGATTCGGTGGAGACCGGCACGAGAACCAGGACTCGGGTGCAGGGGGAGAACAGGACGAAGCCACCGGTAGGCCAAATCCAGCGGGCGCCAGGCAGCAGAGCCACCGCAAAACGACCAGTGGGAAGGATCTGAGAGAAAGCCAGCCCGCAGATGAGCTTTAAGCTTCACGATGTATCCTCCGCGTTTGCCTCATTTCCTCCTTCACTTTCTCCGCAGGATGCCGAGGGGCCACTGGCGGATACAATCCGGGATAACCGCCTGGAACGACTCATTCCTATTGCCAAAGGAGCAGTCCACATCCAAAGTGTAAGAGTTGGTGAATGTGTCCGCAACTGAGTTGCGGATGTCCAAGAATGCTTGACGGTCGTAGATTTTAAAAGCGTGTAGCAGTTTAAAGACAGAGCAGACAACCAGACAAGCAAACACGAGAGCAACAGACGGCATGCCGAATACACAGGCGCCATCTTGGATCGCCAGCAGATAATGTTCTTTTTAGCAACATCATATGACCCCTTTAATAAAAGAAATCATTATTTCAAAACTGCATTTTGTATTTACTCGGGTTATCTTTGTGTAATATTAAAATGTGTTTGACGATCTGAATGATTCAAGAGTGACAAATATGTAAAAAAAAAAAAATTTTTTAAACGGGCAGGGGGCAAAAACTTTTTCACAGCACTGTAAATTGGTCACACAGATTTGCTGCACTGACCAACATGAAGCTGCTTGGTTTGAAAGTGACTTCTGTTTGAGCAGTTCTTCATGCCTCAAGCAGTTGACATTAGACAGTGGACCTTTTTTGTACATGGAATTTAGCTGAAAATTCACCAATGCAATTGTACCTTTTGTGTGTGCTATGTCATTCTGGTTTCTCTCACTCTTAAGGTGTAAAGTGACCAACTTTAAAGGAAAAGAAATAAAAATTTGCTGAAAAAATTACTCACCTTCAGGCAATCCAAGATATAGATGAGTTTGTTTCTTCATCAGAACAGATTTAGCAAAATTTAAAGTTTAGAGTTAAAGCTTAACATTGGATTTGTTTCTTACAAAGTGCAGATTTTTACTTCAAAAGACGTTAATTGATGGACTGGAGTGGTGTGGATTTCTTGTGGATTATTGTGATGTTTTTATCAGCTGTTTGGACTCTCATTCTGACGGTACCCATTCAGTGCAGAGCATCCATTGGTGAGCAAGTGACGTAATGCTACATTTCTCCAAATCTGTTCTGATGAAGAAACAAACTCATCTACATGTTGGATGGCCTGAGGGTGACTAAACTTCAAGCAAATTTTCATTTTTAGGTGAACTAGTCCTTTAACATAATTGAAATCTGCATGGGAACTCCTGATCATGCAGATTCCTATTTGAACGACTGGATTTAACCCATGCAATTTCAAAGAGCAACTGTAAATGTGACCACAGCTTTTCTTTTAATGGGGAGAATTAAGCGCTTATGGGATTGTTCAGTGAACACAGGATATCACACACTTGTTCTACAATCACTGCTCAGTTCTATAAGTAGAGTGTGTGGGTTGATGTTCTTTCGTAAAGAAACAGTTTGCCTAAAATCAAAACCATAAGACTTTCTTTTGTGAAACAAAAAAAGAAGTTTAGCAGAATGTTCAAACTGCTCTTTTACATTCAATGAATGAATGGTGACCACAGTTGTCTGTAACACTGTATTGACCAATCAGCATTAAGAACCACTGACAGTCTCCACAGAGCAAGGGTGTTTAGTCCAGCTCCTGAGGGCCACCTTCCTGCAAAGTTAGCTCCAACACACCTGCGTGGAGAGTCATCTTCTTGACCTTAATTAGCTAGTTCATGTGTATTTAATTAGGGTTGGAGCTAACCTTGGCAGGAAGGGGGCCCTCCAGGAGCAGGATCGGACACCCCTGATATAGAGCAACCTGAAGTGAAGTCTCTTGGTCAAGGGCACAATGCTGATAACGGACCTTAATATGAATCGCTTTATATTAAGGATTACAAGCACAGAACATGATACACTAAGCTACCGCTATCCTATTATGCTCAGAGATACACATCAGAAACCCCTTTTTTCTTTTATCTCTCTCCATCTCCCTCTCTCTCTCTCTAAATTAAAACAGTATGCTTTTTTATTAGTTGTATATTCTGAAAACTGTGTGAGCGTAATTTAATTACACTGTAAAATTAATAAGGCACTCGTCTCAAAAATTGAGCTCCTAATAGTCTCATTCACTGTCATGCCTCTCTCTGAAATTTTAAGTAGCAGTTTTAACAAATGCCAGTTCCCACTTTTGTTTAAGTGTTTAAGGTAAGGATCACTATTACTATTACTCATACTTAAAACGAAACATCAGTGCTTAAATCATTTGGCTTCTTTTGTACTGTGGACTTTAAGTCTTTACTTGTCAGTGTTTTGTTTTTTTTGTTTAGCCACCATTACTGCATTTTTGATCATTTTCACACAAATTTCATGGCCCTCAGAATATTTTGTTGTATGAATAATTGAAAATGCAGTATGTCAAAAGTAAGGACAGAGCCTTTGCATTTAAATGAAACCATTTTATTCTAGCTTCATGCATTTGTGTGGGTAAGTTTCATTTACAAAAGCAACATTTTGAACAAAAAGCTGAGAAAATCGTGTTTTGTTAAAGTCTACGGCTGCGTCCCAAAGTTAAGGGCACGGATTTTGAAGGCCACGCCTCCAAAGTGCATGAAGGACGCTCCGCCTTCGCAGGATTTCCTAATTGTGCCACCAGGGGTTCCCAATTACCGCTCCTGTCATGGAGCAATGGTGCGAGAGGAGAGCTGCCATCCTGATAGGATAGGTGGAGCCAGAATTGCTCATTTTTGTTTTTATGTTTTACGTCATAATGGAGGAGACGGTGGGAATGTTTCACCCACAGCGGTGATGCACCTCAGGCTTAGCCAAGTCCGTGGCCAGGTAAGTTACACTGGTTTGCTGCATCCTTAATTGCCGCATTACAACTTTAAAAAGTGAAAAGTGACGTGACATGTGGCCAAGTATGGTTACCCATACTAGGAATTAGTGCTCTGCATTTAACCCATCCTTAGTGCACACACACAGCAGTGAACACACACCCGGAGCAGTGGGCAGCCATTTATGCTGCGGCGCCCGGGGAGCAGTTGGGGGTTCGGTGCCTTGCTCAAGGGCACCTCAGTCGTGGTATTGAAGGTGGAAGAGAGCGCTGTACATTCACTCCCCCAACCTACAATCCCTCCCGGTACGAGACTCTTTGGGTTACGAGTCCGACTCTCTA